AATAGTTTCTCAGTCTGTTTTTATCCGGTTCTTGATCATCGGTGGTCACTTTCTTTATGGTGGTCTAGTGTGCACTGGTCTTCACTGGTTCCTGTCTGGTCCTGGTCCCGTTTTTGTGGGTCCAGCTGAGACCCGAGTCAGTCCATGCAGCGCTACCGCCAACAATATGGTGCCTCCTACCCCCCCACAGCCTCCCCAGCTCCTGTGGAGGAGGAAGAGGAAGAGGAGGAGGAGGAGGAGGTGTACATTGAAGAGGAGGTGTATGGGGAGGAGGCTGAGCCGCTGATACAGGAGGAGGTGGAGCCTGTGGTCCGGGAGACAGGTAGGCCTGGTACAGGAACAAGGTTTGACCTGCTTTGGTTTGGTCTGGTTCTTATCTGGCCCGGTTTGGTTAGGAGGCGTTAAAGAGGAGGAGGAGGAGGAGGAGGAGGAGGAGGAGGCGGCCTCACAGACCAAGGAGGAAGTGCAGCCCGACGTCCAGGAGACAGGTAGGAAAGGTTTGGCATGGTTTGGTTTGGCTCAGTTTGGTTTAGCTTGGTTTGGTTTAGTTTGGTTTGGTTTGGTTTTGCTTGGTTTAGTTTGGCTTGGCTTGGTTTGGTTTTGCTTGGTTTGGTTTAGCTTGGCTTAGTTTAGCTTGGCATGGTTTGGTTTAGCCTGGTTTAGCTTGGCTTGGCTTGGTTTGGCTTGTGAAGCAGAGCTCAATGACACATTCATGGATATCTGTTGGTATTTAGTTTGTTTCATAGCTCAACATTTTGAATGTTTGAATTGTTGTGTATCATGAATTTAATGCAAACTCAATACAATCTCTTGCTTATTTTCAAAATAAAAGCCTTCCAGCTCAGGGAATTGCTTGGGGCTTTTACTTGATAACGTAGTGAAGCAGCCACAGAAAGTCTTGAGTGACATTGGATTCAGGGAAAATCCTGATTAGCTTAGAGCTGTAATACATTCAAAAAGCTTCATAGTTGTGTATGAACCACGGGGTTATCTTTGGTGGATTAATGCAAAATTAACCAAGAATTATCTTTATTCGATTAGTTGTTTTTTATGCTTTTTTTCACGCTAAAAGAAAGTTATGAGCACATCTTTAGATTTAAAAAGGTGCTTTTGAGGGATTATTTGCAGAGAAAGTCAGTTTAAATCAACAAAATGTTTAGTCGACAAAAATCGTAACAATGTTAGTGGATAAAAATCGTAACAATGTTAGTG